TGAGCTTCTTTTACACACCATTTGTATTATACGTTTGATCACATGGTCGCGGAGGAATTGAACGAGTGCATATGTATCTCAGTATATGCACACACATGTGTACACAAACGCGAAAAATATTTATCTGTAATTATTCATTGATGAAAAATATATTAATCAATGCGTTGTTTTGTGAATCGAATAAATATAATAAAAAAAGTGTCATTCAGTTATATTAAATTAATTACTAAATTATCAAATATTTAAGATAATATGCGTGTGAAGTTAAAAATCCATCATATTGAGGAGTAAAACTCCTCCTCTGCTTGTTATATTATTATATAACTTCTAATTAATTAAAACTGAAGAATTAGATATTAAACTGCATTGTGATTAAAGAAAAAAATAAAAGTTTATTATCTATGACTTTGTCTTTGATACATGATATATATTTTATTTTGCATAAGGTTTAATCTCTTTGTAATAAGTATTTCTGCAAAGTTATGTATTGGTTTCTATAAACAAATATTTCAAGTTAATGCAAATTTATATTTTTTAATTTTATATTATGTATAAGTATAATATATATATGTATGTATATATTCGAAGTATGTCATAAAATATATATATTCTTAACATATTGCAAAGAAAACTTACTGAGTAAATACTGTACAGATATTAATGTTCAAATGTATAGATGACTCTTTTAATCAGTGTCCTTTTTAACTCTAAACATTGGATAGAGGTAGATACATTTTCTTTCAATAACATCAAAGAAGATTTTCACTTTTGTTTTCCATATGAACACATTTGAGCAAGTACTTGACCAAATATCTAAAAAGATAATCATATTTTTTTATCATAATTTGGAATATTTTCCCTTATCCTTCTCCAATGCATTCAACATGTTGGATATGTGTTCCTGCAAAATAATAAAGTAATTTTTTTATAATTTTACTTAATAAATTTTCTTTGTAATGTTAAGAAGCATACAGAGTGTTCCATTTTTAATGATCTCAAATTTTTCTTGAACAGTGCATTTTAGAGAAAAATGTTTCAGATATAAGTTTTGTGACTTCGAGGGGGACATAAGATATATATAAACTGTAGAGACAAAAATTGTTTATTTTCTTCTTATAAAGTTCTGAGAATTTTTTTAGAATTTTTTAATACTGTATTTTTTTTTTTGGTAAAAATAAGAAAATGCGGTCCTAAAAGTTGGAATAAAAAATTCTGAAAAAATTCTTAGATTTCTATGAAAAGAAAATAATTTTTGTGTCTTGTAGTTTTTCTGTAAAGTTGATAGTATTTCAGTAAAAAATTATTGAAGACCAATTTTCGACAATTTTTAGCAATAAATATCTTATTAACTATTGCTAAAATCGTAAAATGGTAAAGGATTTTTCTTCTCAGTTTAGTCTATTCTGCCCTTATGCGAAAGATTTATAAATACTTTCCAAACACCCTGTATATACAGGGTGTTCACAAAGTCCTTAAATAAAAACTTAAATTTTTGTATGAAACATTTTTCTGATAAATACTTTTCAAAATATTTAAGAAGTTCAGGACTTTTTTAATATATACACATATATATTCAAAACTCCTGTATATACACACACATATATATATATATATATATATATAAGATATATTCATATTTTAATATAATTGCGTTTCACATTTACATATTTTTTATATAATATACAATTAAAAAATATATTTAAGTGTTAATTTAGAATATTTGTTTATAAAAATCTATCTACATATACAATAGATTGCAGGAATATTTGCTTATAAAATAAATATTGCAGACCCATGATTACCCGTACATATAGCATATATCTTAAGGGGACATATACACTTAGAAGTGATGAAAACATTGTAGAGGTATAAATTAATCTGACAGAACAGAGGAGTTATATGAAATTATATACGATTAAGTTCGAACGCGTTGAAGACGACAGGTAGGCGCGCCTGCGACAGAATGGTTCAAGTTCGTACGCAGGTCAAAGAAGAGTCTTCTCTCTCTATTCATTGTATTTATCAATAACAAACCTCAGAGTTGTATTTAAAAATACGAACGGTTGGTTGGGTAACAGTCTTGCCTGGACGCAGTGACGGATTAAACATTTTGCCGCTCCTAGACACCAACATCTAGCCGCCTCCAGATGGCTTCATTAACCTGCAAGTAGGTAGGTGAAGTTTTGAAACGCAAGTAGATAAGTGTGTGGGATGCTGAAATACCCCAAACAGTTTTTATTTTTATAATTATATGTTTTCTAGAACATTATATTTTAGTTAAATTTACATTAGATATACTCTAATAATATAGAGAAATGTAAAAATAAACTTTAACAATTCCGGACAATACTTTTTAATTTTTTTTCCAGAAAAAAAGTTTTTAGTCATAAATTTTCCCGTTTTATTTCCTAACACCATTTATTATTAAAAAACGTAACTCAAACCTAAAAAAGAGTTAAAATACAAATCTTTTTAAGGTACTAAATAGTACCTTAAAATATAAATTGCACAAAATTATCATTAAAAAATATTGAGTTGAAGATAAGATAAATAGCGAAATAAAAGATACACAAATTAATACTTCTTTTACAAGAAATGAATATTTTAATGACCAAAATATGTAAAACAGTCAATGTTTGAATTTAAAAAACATAAAATTAAATTTTTTTTTATAGAAATAAAATATAACAATAAAAACAAAAGAAAAATAAGATTATTTACTTTTTATAATTAAATTTAGTTACATTAACAAGCATCAGTTTATTTTGCTCTAAAAATTCATTTTTACAATGAAAAAATGACAATAAGGGGAACAATTTTCAAGAAATTTTAATCAATCGGACACTTTGGCTATAATGCCGGCGGTACTTCAACTTTCAAGTCTTATAACTCGAAAAGTATTTAATAAAAATGAACTTTATTGTAGCGTTTGAAAAAGCCCTTGACGTCAGCTATTAGATTCTGGAATAAAAAATAGGGTCAATAGGGTGTCCTATTTAAAAAAATCAATGTGACCTTGACCTGGCGATGTCACTCAAGCTCAAACTGATAGGATTAGTAAATAGATTTTTTAAATCCCACACAATTTTGGCTGAAACATTTTTTCAATAAACCAGTACTTTTTGAGATAATTAGCCGTTTCGAGACTTTTGGATCTTACTAATCGCCCTTTTATCATTTTAATATGCTCTTTTATAGGAAAAAAAAACGAGTTTTGGATCCGAATGCCAAAATGTAATTTTCTCGGAAAATTTGTTGATAAAGGATACAAAAGCAAGTCGAAATTCATAAATGGTCAATACGGAACGCGTTAATACGGGTGTTTGAGAGAACTTCGCAATCTGATAAGAAAAAAAAAGAGAAGAACTTAATCAAAGAATAGGTTTGTAAATAGGTGTGATTTACATGTGATTTATAAAAAGAAAATTTAATCTAAAGAAACAAATCACTTTACCAAGGTGTAGTCATGTACTTTTGCTTTACGCGATTTTGTTTTGCTACCTGGCAGTTAATAGTTTAACAATAAAAATTTTGTAATATTTTATATTCTCGCTGGATTTCAGTATACTCACGTCAAGACACTTCTAATCGTTAAAACAGATTGTAATTTGTAATTGTGATTAGATCTTATGTTATAACATAAATTAAGGACGGCACATCAAAATTTCTTTTCTAATGAAAGATATATTGTATATTATGAAATTAAATATATAAACATATATTAAAATACCGGCGTCGGTAATCTAAAGGCTTAGGACGCTCGTTTGGAATAGATCCGGATTGAGGTAATTGCCGGCTGAGGTAATATTTTTCGCATTCAAAATAAATTTATTTACAGTTTTTCAGCACATTAACATTTTTCTAATGTGATGCCTGATTGAGTATCAAATTATTAAAAATTGCTTGTCAATTTAATTTAATTTGTGATATTATTATAGTAATTTAATTGCGTTTATAAGTCTGGAAAACCAATTCGGCGCGCAGAATGACTATAAATATGGTACACACACACACACACACACACACACACACACACACACACACACACACACACACACACACACACACACAGAGAGAGAGAGAGAGAGAGAGAGAGAGAGAGAGAGAGAGAGAGAGAGAGAGTCTAAAATAAGATTCTTATTGTATATACTAGAATAATTTCTTTTATTATTTTTAATATGCTCTCATTTTAGAAAAAAATGAGTTCTGAATTCGATCGCACAAGTGAAACGGAAATGCCGCTGAATGAAGTGTGGAACAGCAGAAGGATATTCATGGATGATCAGCGGAACGAGTTAGCAAAGGTGTTTGAAGAAACTCCATATCCTAGAAGAAATAAACTGGAAGAACTAGCTCAAAGAATGGGACTGTCATTCGACAGTCTTAGAAAATGGTTCCAGAGTACTGGAACATATAATCCAAACAAATCTATGCTTTCATTGTCGTGTGATCATCACGTATGATTATTTTGCCCAGTTATGTTTTGCTGTTTGAAAGCCAATAGTTATAATTAAACCCAGAATTAGGTTGCAACGAACGAAACACTTGTCTCATAAAAAAATCTGAAAAAAGTGCAAAAATGGCCACATAAATTTATGTTTTAATTCATTCGCTACCAATGCGCGATGACTATACGTACCTGCCTCTTTTGTTGAGCGCTCGTTGTGTAAATAAAAACGAAATATATGTAAGAATATAAATGTTGATATAATAATTGACAATTTTGTGATTATTATGAATCATGAAAAGTACAATATTAAATGAAAAATACAATTAATACGATAATTAATATTATTTATAAACTACATACTAAATATATAATATGCATATATACTCTGATTTTGCTGTGATTTTAGTAACTATGTTTTATTCGTTTGTAACTATATATACTAGTATAATATCTTTTCTATTGTTAATGTGTTTTCGTTATAGGAAACAAAGAGTTTTAAATCCGATTACAAAAGCAAAAAGGAAAAACCGTTGAAAATTGCAGTGGGCTGTAGAAAATTCACGGTTGATCAACGGAACGAGTTAATGCGAGTATTACGGGAAACTCGATATCCTGATAGAAGAAAAATGATGGAACTAGCTGAAAGGTTGGGAGTGTCACTCCAAAAAATTAGTATGTGGTTCCGAAATACTAGAAGAACTAAATCTAGAACTAAACCGAGCCAAACTAAGTCTTCGTCGACGCGTAATTGTCAAGTATGATCATTTTACGCGATTTTGTTTTGCTGTTTGAAAGCTCTAATAGTTATAATCAAACCGAAAAGCACTGTGACAAATGAACTTGTCACATGTAAAAAATTTGAAAGAATGCAAAAAGAACAACATAAATTTTTAATTTAATTCATTCATTACCAACGCAGTGATTATACTTTCCTGCCATTGAACGCTCGTTGCTTGTATCCATTACATGAAAACAAAATATATACAGATATAAACGAAATATGTAGAGATATAAATCTTGATAAAATAATTTTGACTATTAAAACACGAAGATTATTTTAAATGAAAAATATATTTTTTATGAATTTTTTTGACAATTAATATTATCTGTTATAACATTTATATATATATAAATGTTATACACAATATAATATGTATAGAAATTCTGATTTTACTGTGACTTCAGTAATTATGCTTTTGTTCATTAGTAACATACATATATAAGTTACTTGCTTGCTTGTAACGTATATTTATACATGTGATTATGTTCCTATTAAATATTATTATTATTATTAGGCGTTAGGAACTCGAAAGCTCATTGCCGCAAATACCAAATCCCGCCACTGTTCCCGTCCCTGAGCCAGATTCCTCCATTTGTGATCTTCGTACCCCATTTCGTTAAGGTCCATTCTAATATTTTTATTAAATATTATTAATACTAAATTAATATTAAATACCACTAATTAATATTTTTTGTTATATTTTACATTTATACATGAAATATTTTTTGTTACTGAAGAGATACATCAAAATATATATTCGGTCCTGGGACGCCATTCCGTAACTTATTAAATTTTTACATACCTACCAGTTATCAGTTTTGTTGCGCAGCTTTTTCATTATATAAAATATCTGCGCAATAACACCGACGACTGTCGGTAGATGTGTAAAGATAGTTACGGAATCGCGCCCTTGGTCATAATAATAAAATTCTTGTAATTATTTTATTTTCTTGCTTCAGAAAACTAATGATATTTTCAATTATTAAAAGAGATTGTGATTAGATTTTGCGTCACAGTATAAATTAAGTTGGAACAGCATTCAATATTTATACAATTTCTTTTTCAATGATAGATATTATATTGTTTATGACGAGATTTTAATATATATAAATAAATATATATATATATATAATTATAATTTTTTAATTTTTAATGTGGTTTTGTAGAAAATAGTGATTTCTGAATCCGATTGCAAAAACAAAAACAAAGAGCCGCAGTCGCTGAAAATAGTGCCGCGCCGCAAAAAATTCACGGTTGAGCAACGGAACGAGTTAATACGGATATTAGAGGAAACTCGATATCCTGGTAAAAGAAAAATGGTAGAGCTAGCACAAAAGATGGGAGTGTCATCCACCAATATTAGTACATGGTTCCGGAATAATAGAAGAACTCAACGGAACAAACAACTTATGTTTTCGTCAACGTGTGATTGTCAAGTATGATCGTTTATGTGATTTTGTTTTGCTGTTTGAAAGCTCTCTAAGGCCCAGTTTCACAACTCACGGTTAACTCTTAATCGAGGTTCAACTTGTTTCTCATCTCTTTCCAATTCTAGAATTTTATCACTTTAAATGAGAAGAATAGGCTTTCTATGAATTTTTACGATAATTATTATTATCTATTACATAAATATCTATTATCTATTACATAAATATTAAGTATTATTATAATTAATAATATTGTTTATTATAATTTTATGATAATTTATGTCTTGTAAAAGAAATATTTTTTTATTACTGAGAAGGTGAACGTTTTTCTTTTGCCTAGGCGCCGAAAGGTCTAATCCTGTCCGCTCGTATCAACAAAATTTTTCTAATTCTTTTGTCGCGTTCAATGATATGTCTAATTATTAAAAGAAATTGTAATTTTGTGATTAGATCTTATGCCACAACATAAATTAAGTTAGATGAGAGTAGCGTTTTATGCTTATGCAATTTTTTTTATAATGAAGGATTATATTACGAGATTCTAATATATATATATATATATATGTACTAGTATAATTTCTTTTTTTATTTTTAATGTATTGTAGGAAACAGCGTGTCCTGAATCCGTTTGCAAAAGTGGAAAGAAAAAGCCACTGAAAACAGCATCGTGTAGAAAGAGATTCACGGTTAATCAACGGAAAGAGTTAATACGGGTATTTGAGGAAACTCCATATCCTATAAGAGATAAAATGGAAGAACTAGCCCTGAAAATGAGAACGTCTTTTCACAGTATTACAAAATGGTTCCAGAATACTAGGACATATAATCCGCACAAATTTATGCCTTCATCGTCACATGATCATCACGTATGATTTCTTTTGCCCAGTTATATTATGCTGATGTGATTTGAAAGCTAATAGTTATAACTAGACCCAGAATTAATCGTGGCGAACAAGACACTTGCCTCATGTAAAAAATCAACCTATGTTGGATTAATGATATTGTATGTTCTCCTATTGGTGGAATATGTAACATCAATCATTAGTAGAACATTATCCAACCCAAATGGGAGCAAATTCGCTCGAGTCGAAAACGTTATTAGAATTCGGTCAGGAATATGTCTCTTCAGAGACACTTTGGTTGTTCTGGAGCACCCTGCATACTATAATTTCTTTTATTTTCAATGTAGGAAAATGTGAGTTCCGATCGTAGAAGCGAAACGAAAATAATATGGGGCAGCAAAAAGACATTCACGGATGTTCAACGGAGCGAGTTAGTACGAGTATTTGAGGAAACTCCATATCCTAGTAAAAATAAAATGGAAGAATTAGCCCAGAGATGGGGAATGCCATTCTACAAGATCACATCTTGGTTTGCACGTATTAGACAATTTAAACGGGACAAAATTACGCCTTCATTAACACGTGATGGTCATAAAGTATGACTTGTTTTACTATTTTGAAAACTAATTGTTATAACCAGACCCGTGAATAGTTTGTGACGAACGAGACATTTGCCTCATGTAAAAAATTTCGAAGTACGCAAAAATGACAGTATGTTTTTCTGTTTTAATTTGATCGCTAGTAGCGTAACTATACTGTCATTAAACGCTTGTTATGTATTAAACAAGAATAAAATACATACAAATGTTAATTAAATTGTCAGTTTTGTAGCTATCAAAACAAGAGAAGTATTATTACTTTAAATAAAAAATACATTTTTTATGAATTTATACGATAATTAATATTATCTATTGTATAAATGGTATGATACAGTATATGTACATATATACTCTGATTTTACCGTGACTTTATTTTTATTTTATTATATTTTATACATCGTAAAAGAAATATTTTTTGTTACTGAGAAGGTGCATGTTTTTCTTTTGCCTTGGTGAACCGACTAATCCCGACTCTGGTTATAACAATAAAATTTTTATAATTATTTTATTTCCTTGGTAACATTTAGAAAATCAATGATATTTTTAATCATTAAAAGACTATAATTGTGATTAAATCTTATGCCACAATATATAAATTAAGTTAAACGATAGAGTTAACGATAAAGTAGTGTTTAATATATATACAATTTCTTTTCCAATGAAAGTGATTATGATATATTATGAAACTCGTATATACAGGGTGTCCAGTAAGTTTTAACAAACCGTTCGTGAGCAGGTAGAATGGACTAAACTGAGTTGAAAAGTCCTGTATTATTTTGTAATTTTTGCAATAGTTAACGAGATATTAATTACTAAATATCACCGAATATTGGTCTTTAATAATGTTTTATTCAAGTACTATCACTTTACAGAAAAACAGCAAAAGACAAAAATTGTTTTTTATTTTCTTCTTATAGAGATAAGAATTTTTTAAGAATTTTTTATTAAACTTTTAGTACTGCATTTTCTTATTGAGAACTAGTTTTACAAACATGAAAAAATGCGGTACTAAAAAATTCTGAAAAAATTCCCAAAACTGTATGAGAAGAAAATAAACAATTTTTGCTTTTTGCTGTTTGTCTGTAAAGTTGATAGTATTTGAGTACAAAATTATTGAAAACCATACGGCGATTTTTAGTAATTAATATCTTATTATAACTATTGCGAAAATTGCGAAATGGTAAAGGACTTTTCGATTCAGTTTAGTCCGTTCTATCTGTTCACGAACGCTTTGTCAAAACTTACGAGACACCCTGTATATGTACCAGTATAATTTTATTTTTATTTTTTATGTATTTTTGTTGTAGGAAACAGTGGATTCTAACTTCAATTACAGAAACAGAACGATAAACCCGCTGAAAACAGCGTCGCGCAGGACATTCACGGATGATGAACGGAACGAATTAATACGGGTGTTTGAGAAAAATCCATATCTTAAAAGAAATACAATGGAAAAACTAGCTCTGAAGATAAGAGTGCCATTTCACAGTATTAATATATGGTTCAAGAATGCTAGAAGATATAATCGGGTAATTATTCGAAATACGGAACACCGCGTCGATGACTTCAATTTTGACTATGTTGTCAAGATCATGGCCATGAGTGACTTTCAAAAGATCTTAGGTGATGGTCACTGGTCCTTACAAAAAGTATTGATCAAAATTATAAAAAAATAACGTCTTATTTCTGCTATATACAACAATAAACACGCGCCCTTAAGCAGGGGGAATGTGGGGTGAACGTCGCTTTGCATGGGAAGTCGTTCGCCCTTAAGCAGAATGGGGGGAGAATGTGGGATAGATCTTGTTTCGCGTAGAAAATTATTACATAAACAGGTATAAGTAGAGTAGTCTTTAATATTGTATATAACAGAATTAAGATGTTATTTTTTTAAACTTTTTTTATTTATCAATAATTTTTTATTGACCAGTGATTACCATCTTATGAAGATCACACACTGTCACGACCGTGACGATATATATCAAAGTCAAGGTTATCGACGTGGTACGTGATGTCTTTTAATCTGAATAATTATCTATAATCGAAACAAAATTATACTTTTGTTGATTATCACGCATGACCGTTTTATCCGGTTTTGCTATTTGGAAGATAATAGTTATAATTAAATTCGACTAGACTATGGCGAACGAGGCCTCATGTAAAAAAATTCGGAAGGATGCAAAGATGACAATATATATTTCTATCTTAATTGGTGATCACTAATGGTGATCATATTTACTTATCGTTAAGTGTTGGCCTTATATTAAATAAAAACTAAGAAATATATGTAAAGATATAAATGTTGATAAAATAATTGATAATTTTGTGGCTATCCAAGAAATATTACTTAAACTGAAAAATATATTTTCTACAAATTTTTACGATTTAATTAATTTTATTTATTATATAAATGTTAAACACTATATAATACATGGTATATACGTATATATATATATATATATATATATATGTGTGTGTATGTATATAAGAGTGTCTCAGAATAACCGCCAAATATTTTACGGGCAGGTAAAACGAATTAAACTGAGTCCTGTATCATTTTACAATTTTCTAATAGTTAACAAGTTATTAATTATTAAATTTCGCCGAATATTGGTACTCACTATTTTTTTACTCAAGTACTATCAACTTTATAAAAAAACAGCAAGAGATAAAAATGGTTTATTTTCTTCTCATATATAGAATTCTGAGAATTTTTTCAGAATTTTTTATAATATTGCATTTTCTCATCTCGTTGGTAAAAATAGTCAACAAAAAATGTAATACTAAAAGTAAATAAAAAATTTTTAGAGTTTTATAAGAAGAAAATAAACAATTTTTTCTCTCGTTGCTTTTTTTGTAATTGATAGTACTCGAATAAAAAATTATTAAAAATAAATATTCGGCGATTTTTAGTTATTAATATCTTTTTAACTATTGCGGAAATTGCAAAATAGTAGAGGACTTTTCGACTTACAATTAGTTTAGTTTGATCTACCTACACACGAAATATTTGGCGGTCATTCTGGGACATCCTGTATATACACTCTAATTTTATTTTAGTAACTATACGTTTTGTTCTTTTATAACATAGCATGATACGTAATGTGTATGTTTTTAATGTATTTTATTATATATGTATTTTATTATTATGTGATTATATTTCTATTAAATATAATATCAAATTAATTATTAAATATTATTAATTAATATTATTTTTTATTACATTTACATGAAATATTTTTTGTTACTGAGGATTGTATATGTTTCTTTGTTGTCTCAATGCCGAAATATTTAATTTTAGCTTTGATTATAATAATAAAATTCTTGTAATTCTTTATTTTAATAAATAAGGAAAAGTACACTGATAATGAGAGTCAAACGCAGTAATTGGAGCGCAACAAAATTATCAGTAATTTATTAATCAATAAATAATAAACGTTCCGGCATCATTCCGAGCCATCATCAGTGGATACATTACTTGTATATGTGATTATTGTCTCAAGCTTCACTTGGAAAGTCGTATGTATGTCTCTCACAATGGTTGCAAGACCAAATGATTTCGGATCCAAAAGGAGCCGAAAAAGTTTGTTCATTCGACTGATCATGGTTTCTACTACAGATCTCGGCTTCTTTATATTTTTCCTTATTTATTGTTAATATTAGAGAGTCTTATTTTATTTCATTCATTTGATGGTGCAACATCTCAAGATGGGCCTACCTCTCATGAAGTTTTCGTAACAATGGATTATTTTCCGGAATTAGGTTGTTAGCCTAATATCCAATTTCCAACCTAGAGGATCCATACATAATATCCACTGATATGGGACCTACAACCCTTAACGCCAGATCCGAACAGCGCTGGTGATTAAAGATCTTGTAATCATCAGATGGAATCATTTTTTATTTCTTAAACGTGAAAAATCGCGTATGTGGGCACGGATAGGATTGAACCCAAATCTACAGATCACGAGTTAATCGCACCGAGCGGCAAGCCACTCGACGCCTAAGTTATTTTATTTATTTGTCGTTGAAAAGCAACAATATTACTAATCATTAAAAGAGATTGTAATTGTGATTAGATCTTATGTTGTAACACATAAATTAAATTGAAGGTAGAGAATTTAACATTTATATAATTTTTTTTTAACGATAGATATTGTATAGTATAAGATTTTAATATATATAAATTTAATATATTGTATATACACTAATATAATTTTTTATTATTTTTAATATGCTTTTTTTGCAGGAAAAGGTGAGTTCTGAATCCGATTACAAAATAGGAATGTGCGATTCGTTTATTGAAAATCAATCTTTGAATCGATCTCGGATTGCAGCAATATGGATTCATCATAGATCGCATTAAAAAGAACGATTTCTTAAAGATCGATTTGGAAAAATCTATTTATGTAGTAAAATCAAAGTTGGCAAGAAATAATGCGCGCATTCAAGTCAATAAAGTAGCTAGCCTACTTGCTGAGCAAAATTGGATTACTTATAGATTCAACCAATCGCATTCAATCACTTGCAGGCTAGTAGCTTTGTACATGCTCAATTTTTTTTTTTAGAAAATAAAACATTATATTTTTTAAAAACATGTTTTTTATTTTTTTAAATATGCCTCAAACTGTATTTTAAAAGACATGGTTAAAATATGTTAAAAATATTGATTTTACATGTTTTAAACATCAGTAGCACAACAGCGTTTGAAAAGTGCTAAAGCTATACTTTTTTAAATGCTTGTAGGCGCTATGTGCTACTTGATTTTAAATGTGATTTTTACCAATCCTGCATAAAATGTTACATTGAGGAGAAACTTAATAATCACTGTTGTTATTATACATTATTTTGAACAGACTGTGGCGCAGACTGTGGTGGATTTAGAGGTTTCTATAATGTTGATATGTTTAATGATTCGGAAATATATTATTAGATAATATTATAATTATATTTATAAAATAATTAGACGAAAAAATGTTGATGAAATTCATATAAAATCAATATTTCAAAGTGTTGATATTTTTTGCTTACTGGAGCCATGGTAGAAAAACTTAAGCAGTAAGATGTAAACAGTAAAGAAATTAACATATTGCATTTGTTATTACTTACGTTAAGATCTTCGTTAAGATCTGGTTTCTTGTAAATAGACCAATTCGTACTGCTTAAGTTCTACTGCGTAATCAGGTATTTGGATAGGTTTTCGCATGTGCTCCTATCGAGAAAAATCGGAGATCGATTCACTGATAAAACAAGTGATTTACAATAAAAGTGTAAAGAAGGAGATTAAAAAATCTGATCTTTTGTGTTCAAAAGATCGATCTTTTGAAAGGTCGAATCAAGATCGAACATTCCTATTGCAAAAGCGAGATGACAAAGCCGATGAAAACAGCGTCGCGCAGCAAAAGGAAACTCACGGATGATCAGCGGAACAAATTAGCACTGGTGCTTAAAGAAACACCATATCCTAGAAGAAATAAAATGGAAGAATTGGCTCAGAAGATGGGAATGTCATTCCACAATATTAATTTGTGGCTCCGGAAGATTAGAAGAGCTAATCTAATCTAATAATTCTAGCTAATAATTCTAAACAAAGTCTTCGTCGTCGCATGATTATCACGTATGATTGTTTTGCCCGGTTTTGTTTTCCTGTTTGAAATAATAGTTATAACCAGACCTGGGATTGAGTTGTGGGATCAAGGTATTTGCCTCGTATAAAAAATTTGGAAGAATGCAAAAATGGCAATAAATTTATGTTTTAATTTATTCACTACTAACGATGATTATCTACTCGTTGTGTATTACAAGTAAAACGAAATACATATAAGGATATAAATTTTGATAAGAATTTTGTGATTATCGAAGCACACAAAGTATTACTTTAAATGAAAAACATTTTCCATGAATTTTTACGATAATTTTCTAAACATCTGTTATATATAATATAACAGATACTATACAATATACACTTTGATTTTACTTTTGATTTTAGTAATTATGTTTTTATTGCTTAACATATATATATACGTAACCTGCATGTTTGTAACGTATAATTTTATACAGTTGACTATGTTCTTATTAAATAATGTTACTATTAAATTAAGTACCAATGAATAATATTATTTTTTATTAATTTTTCACAGTGAAAAAAATATTTTTTTTTATTTCTGAGGGATCGCATTTTTTTGCTTCATTATTAAAGCATCTAATCTCAGCTCTGATTATAACAATAAAAGTTTTGTAATTATTTTATCTGGATGAACTTCCGAAAAAATCAAACGTCCAATTTTCATGAATTTTGGCAGAAACACTCTAAATGACGTTAAATATAAATATCCTTAAATGGATTTTCACTGGCAAGAAGGTTTAATGCCAAAAATATTTAAATAAAGTTGTATATTGGTTTACCTCTTATTGCATTGTTATCTTATTCTGGTTTTGTTACTGGTAGGCTAGGTAATGTAACAGCAATTTTGCTGACGCCTAACCATTTGCAAGCTACTATTATATTTACATTTATGTTAATTATAATCTATTGTATAATATTTTATGTCTATTACTCTCTTAACATGTAGTATTTTTCATATAGCTTTGCAATAAACTAAATTATTTAATTAATTAATTAATTATGGCGATGATTCAATAATCGAGACAAGAACAAATTATTAATACTCTATAATATCAGTTGGTTTAATATGATTCATGTCTCTCGACTTATAATATAAAGTACATACATGAATAATACAGTCATACATACAAAAATAATAGCACGTACATCCAATATTAAAATTAGACTGTATTCTGAAGACGCAGCCGTATAAATTAGCCCTATAATCGATTCGTTATTACGATTGGTTAATATATTTAGGGTAAGTTTCGTTTTTACACACTGTATTATTTCATCCTTATATATTAAACACACAATCATCATACATTAAACACAATAATGTTTACTGCATAAGTGATAGGAACGTACCTATAAGGAACGTACCTATAAGGTAGTATATTCGCGATAATATCATCAGAAGTTAAGTCCCCTCAAACGTCCCCTCGATACTGTGACTTTCCATCCGCTAGTGAGAGAAAACTTTTGATTCCGCCTGTTCATAGTCGTAAGTACATGGAAAAAGTGAACACTGATGAGACTCAGTCTAACATAATTAATTGCTATTTTCATCCATTCATATGACGCATTGACAAATATTTATAAAAATTGAATTCTTGTCACGACACTTTTTCAGACTAAATTATAAAAAATTATATGACATTTGTTTCTTAATATCCTTTTCAAGTTCCTACTCGCATACCTGTTTCTTATTAACATGTCACTGCTAGTTTGAACACTACAAAAAGAAACGCGACATTTTCAGAACTTTGTGTAGGCGACACATATAAAAAGTGCAGTTTTCAATTTCTTACATCTGAGTACTGAAATCTCAATCTCATTGCAATTGCACAAGAGTAAGAACGTCTTCTAATAAAATACGTATAGTATCAATTTTAAGAAATTCTGTTTTCAATTTGTGCGAATGTACCTTAAACAACAAGGACGTAAAATTATTAAAATAATTAAGTAGTGAGAATTTACTGGACGCATTGTTACCCTGATGAAAATGTATAGCTTCTCAAAGCATCAAAGAAATGTGAACAAAGAATTTTCGCTTCTTAAACACTTCATCAACTTTCCAACTTCGACTCTTAGTGGTTTTGAATATTCATACACGTCCCCCGAACTCTCGCCAAACGTTCCGTAAAGTGTGCCCGAAACACATTGTTACATTTCTCATACGTTTTAAATATTTTTTTTCATTAACGTTTCTTATATGCTCCTTAACACTCCGCAAAGAATGCATGGAGCGTACCGATACACTTCCTAACACTTCATTGGTACTTCATCTATGCTTCCTGCAATGTCCCGCAAAAACACGAAGCATTCAAATTCCTTCTATAGGATATAGAAATAAAAAAATTTATTCTAAAACGAAGCGTCGATGAGTAGTACGTGGCACCATCATCAGAGGGACTTAGCGAGAACTAACTTCTCAAATTTAAAAACTACACAGACTAGGATAAAAGATGTAGCATTGAAAGATCTTTCAATTGTGTTCTAATGAAATAATTTTTTTAAGTGAGCTCCATAGGGCTCCAAGAAGAAAGCATAGCACTTTTTTTTAGATATTTACTGAATAAATGAAATATATTTTAAAATATCATTTGTTTACCAAGGACCTCGATTACATTTCATTCATGTTCATCTAAGAACTCGACGCTTCGTTTACTTTCTTTAGATTACCTAGTCACGCTCCGTTTACATTCAACGGACATTCTGCTCGTGCTTGCCGAAAAATTTATCTATACTTTATTTATGTTTCTTTAACGTTTAGTCAACGCTTCCTTTATATTCCATGTTCCAATTTTCGCTTCTTACGGGTTTCATTTACGTTTCCGTTATTCTTTCCTTACACTTCCTTTACACTCCAATTAACGCTTTATTGATATTCGCTTTGTTTCAGTTTCATCAGCTTGTTGAGCTGCTTTGTTAAGAATGGCCATAATTCGTTGAACTGTTTGTTCTTCACTTGTCTTACAAGTGTCATTGTTGGTGTCATTGTTGTGATTCTAAAAATAAATAATTTTGTATATATAAAATGTGGTATATTGCATGTGATATATCTGTTATAATATGGTTATAACTATATTAATTAGTTATATATATAAATATATAACAGGAATAAGAAGACAAATGAGAATTTGTTTAAATCGATTAAATGTTTTCTTGTGAAAGACCTTTCGCAAATGTACAATAAATGTGTTTCTATGTTTGAAACCCTTGCCACACTCCGAACATTCAAACAGCTTTTTATTGCTGTGTACCAAACTGTGGCTGGCCTTATGATGTTTGGTACGAAAGGCTTTGCCGCAAATCTAAAATACAATACATTTATGTCTAACGAAATGTAAAAATCTAAACAATCATATGAGAAATAAAAGAAGATATTAACGATAATTTTGTAGCACATACCTTACAAAGATGTGATTTATTGCTTTTATGTATAATATTTATGTGCGCGTTAAAGGTCCTCTGATGGGTAAATGTAGATGGACATTCGTTACATTTGTACTTTCTTTCAGGATGATTCGTGTCTATATGATCACGCAAATCCTGCTGAGTTTTGAAATATGTCTTACACACGATACATTTGAAAGTTTTATCAATGGTATGCTTCGCTTCTGTATGCCTTTCTAGATTCCCTTTTCGACTACAAAATGACCGTAGCAACATTTATCATTTATTATCAATTAATTTCAGAATAGATATCGAATAATTTTTCTAATTGTTATTCACTTAAATACTCACGTAAATGCCTCTTCACAAAACTGACACTGATAAGGTTTTTTCTCTGCATGAAGCAAAACATGACGACCCAATTCCGATTCATACTGAAATGCTTTATCACACGTTTCGCATTTATAGGGTTTAACTTGAAAATGTACGTCTTTATAATGTTGTTTCCAAGTTCTCGAAGAGATAAATTGCTTATCTTTAATATTAAAGAAAATTGTTATTATAAAATGAATATAAAAATGATAACCAAAACAGATAACTGTTGAAATAATATACAAAGTTATCAAAAACATTAAAAATATTAATCATGAAAAACATAAATCTTACCGCAATATTGGCATATATATTTTTTTGTGTCATTGTGCGTGCCTTTATATCGATTCAAATTTTGCGACTTTTGGGATTTAAAACTCATTTTTTTAGATTCAAATCGCAAATCTTTCAGAGGTATTTTCAATTAATTTTATTATAATGTTCTTTGAATTCCTTTTGTAGTCCTTACGATTTAAATTTTTTCGAATGTTTACTTTCAAGTTTATCCACCTAAAGTCGTAAGAAAATATAATTTTTGACTTTATAAATTTTTTATCAAAGAAATTATATCGCGGAAGTTCGTCATTAACGTAATTATTTCACCCATAAACACTTTGTGCAAAATGACAGAAGAATATCGACGATTGAGCCATAGAAGAAAAAAAAACACGAAAAAAGTCTATGTTAAGAAATTAATAAAAGCGATCTATTTCGAGTGGGGCGTGAAGACAGATTTCTATGGCTCAGGTCGATAACTACTTACTGTTAACAATGTCTAAAACAACGATGTGACATTCATAACTTAGATACAGAGTTAACAAAGATGCATGTGTATTGTTTTTGATGGATATCCTACAATACGCTTTCATAATAATAATATACTTTCATAATAAAAATTTTATCGAAATCTGCCATTATATTTTATTATCTTTTACTGCTAAAATTTACATATTTTATCGTTAGTGATACTATATATATATAATTTGGAATATTTATTTTATACGTTTCTTTATTTCTTTCTGATTTACATAAATAAAATATTCATTTAAAAACATGGTTGAAAAATAGTGAAAATAGTTAAACGTAATTCAAATTAGATATGAATATAGAAACATGATATAAATAAGAAATAGTTATCAAGATTGAAAGCAATATTTTTTATAAACTACCAATGAAAAAAGAAATATTAAAAATAAACCGTATAATTGCTTATTATTTGAAAATCTGATAAATAGAAATTAGAGAATTCAGTGGAGAATAGACAATAGTGAAAATCTATTTTACGTTCGACGGGGTGTGAAAATAGATTTAATTCCAGTAATAAAATTATAATACAGTGATAGCTGTTATGAAAAGTAAAAAGGAAGAAATAGAATAATATATTAAAGGCAGACTAAATCATAAAAAAAGATGTTTGGGCCCCATTTGCAATTAACCTTACTCGAGCAGTCCGGTTTTATTGTACTTCGGTCACCAACGAAATACTATTAAAGACCGTCGGCCCTGGGCAAATTTTTGTGACTATCAATAGAACTCCGGGGGGGGGGAGGAGGGGATAATTGAAGAACGATAATGTTATCGACAATTAATAAAAATTTATGATTAACATAAATATTTCGATGATGCATTATTAAATTCGTGATTTTTTTATTATATAAATGCTGTATAAATAAGTATGCATACTTTTAATGATATAATATTTTATATAATGCCAAAAAATTACAATTTTTCCTCTGTAGCTATCATCTCTATTGATAATTAAATTCGGATGATATCATTAAAATCACAGTTTTAAATAAAAATCGAGTATTATTAAATTTTAAACATATATACATGTCTACTAATAAATTATGAAATTAGTACCGTATTACTAATTCCTTATTCTTAATCACTTAAATTTTAACAGGCATGCGAATTTCCATAAGCACCGATGGTTTTTAATAATATTTCGTTGATGCCTGTAACAAAAGACATTTTGCGAAAAATATTCACAAAAAACGCATTAATAAACAGTGCAGATTTGAAAGAAGCGCTAAAGTGGGAACGTGGTTTAGCAAAAATAATATAGATATAAGCGTAATTTGTAGGTTCACAGCTTATTTCATTATGTTGCCATCACCACGCATTCACTTTCTGACATTGGACACTGGCTTGAATAAGTGCACAGTTATTGACGGGCTCAATTTGTGCAGAGAAGTATATGAATCTTTTATATATGTAAAAATATATATATTAATATGTATGTATATTGTATTTATACCTATTAATATTATAGGTCTAAGCCGAAGAGCATAGTAAAAAGTTTGGAGATCCAGAGCACATAGTTGAAGTGGACGAAGCAAAATTTGGATGCAGGAAATACAACTGTGGACGAAGTCGAAGAAGTAGTTGAAGAACATATGTTTATTGCCTGTTCAGGATTGAACACAAGAAATTCTATTAAAATGCATATAAGAGGATTTTATCAGGGTCGACAATAATATCAGATTGTTGGAAATCCTATAATTGTCTTGACAATGAGGATTTCCAATATCTAACTAATCATTCTTATAATTTCGTTGATCCTGACACAGGTAAAATATATTTTATAAGGAATATTGATCCAATTAATCTGAAATGTATAAATATGTGTATATAACTGTTATTCTTAAAATTCACAAGTGCTCATACCCAAAACATCAAACGTATTTGGAGAGAAGTTAGGACAAATATTCCAAAATTCGGAATTATATTCCGTCATTTTGTTGGATATTTGTCTGAATACTTTTTTAAACGCGATCATGTTTTGAATAAATGCATAGATAACTTCTTCGACGTAATTAGTGAAGTATATCTTCCGAAATCCAATATGCAATGTCACTAACAAACATCTCCTTTAAATTTGCACTAAAATCTAATCATTTGTGTTGATACTTTCGCATTCGTTACATATTGTTGCATTATACTTTCAATACTAAAAATATAAATGGAATGTTTCTTTATAGATTGATTTTCTTATTATTATTTTATATTCTTATATATTTTATATTATTTTTATATATTTAATAAATATAAAATAAATATGTGTATATACTATATATATATGCATGTATATTAATTTAAACCCATATGCAACACAGTACAATTATAAAAGTTCTCTGCTCTAAAATACAAATTCATGATTTTAAAAGAAATTCTCTGCTTTACAAACAAATTTATTTTAAAAACAAATTCACTACTTTATCAACAAATTCATTGCTTTAAAAAATCAAATTTACTATTTTAAAAACACAAATTATCTTCTTATATTATTTTTGTGTTTTAAAAACAGTAAATTTGTTTTTAAAGTAGTGAATTTCTATTTTAGAGCAGAGAACTTATTTTAAAATAGTGAATTTGAGACAGTGAGGTGTATAGACAGTAGTTTATTAGTTTAGGATGGCTACTCCGAACGAAAAAAAAAATAATATGTCCTAACCGCCTAGAAATTGCAGTATAGACAGTTAAAGACTACACTTGTTCTTTTTAGTTGAACTTTTGCACCAGTTCATCTTTCTTTCTTTCTTTTTTCTTCAGGAGGAAAGAAGAAGAAGAAGAAAGACGAACTGTAAAAGTACAGCTAAAAAGAACAGGTCTACTGTTCTCACACCCCACTGTCTTCATGGGTTAGAAATATTCCAAGCGGATACTGTCTAGGGGCACAGTCAACGCGATGCTACAAATGTTTTGAAGTGTTTTTTAATTGGTCAGTTTGTAAAATTCTTTCTTCTAATTGGTCCATCAAACGTTTCAAAGTACTTATAGCGAGACATTGGCCGGTATTCATAGTCAGATCTTATACAGGGTGTCCCATTCATCACCGGTCGATTTGAATTTCGCGCTATTTTTAAAACGATGCCGAATCTAAGATCGTGATTTTTCGTAATACGCCTGAATAATTTGCACGCGTTCTTTCACCGTGTATTTTTCCATGATTAATTTCCTATCTGTCTAGATGATATATGTGAAGTTTGAGGTTAATCGGTTTGACGTTTTAAAAATAGCGCGAAATTCAAATCGACCTGTGATGAATGGGACACCCTGTATTCAAGACCGTCTTAAGTGCGGTCTTAAGTCACGAACCAATCAGAAGGCTGCATTAGCGTCTTAAGACATTATACTTAAGACGATCTTGAAATAAGACTCGACTATGAATACCGGCCTTTAATCACAGCCTAGGTTCCAACCTTCTAAAAGTTCTAAGTAGGCGAGTTAGGCGAGTTAGGCCCCAAGTCGGGTAGGATGTGACTTCTTTTTTTGGGGCGGTGTAGCCGCCCCAAATCAATAAGCACTAATCTATACACTTCACTGTCTACATGACAGATCAATAATCGTATTACGTGTTAACATTTTAGTCAAATTTAATGAGTCATTTTACTCAAAGTCTCGATTCGCAGGGCAGTCCTGAACTTTTTTCTGTCAGATTCTTTCATTTTATGCAAAAACGCGAATGAGCCCAATTTCATCGAAATCGGAGATGACCTAGCCTCAATAGTTGTCAACTTTAACGCTCAATATCTCACTTCGCAGGGCAGTCCCCGACTTTTTTCTGCCAGATACTTTCATTTTACGCAAAACCGCGTCGAATGAGCCTAATTTCATCGAAATCGGAAGTGAGAGTAAGCTCTTCCGGAGAATTACCGAAAGCTGTAAATCTATGTATGACACCAAGTTCACAATTTTTCGTATATACATAGCAAGAGTAAAGCAGGCTTTCATTTTGAATGAAAACGCGTTGAATGAGCCTAATTTCGTTGAATTAGTAGGTAAAAGGTAGCGATTCTAAATAAATACTTACTTAATCAAAGTACGTGTATATAGCGCTGCATCAAATCGGTATATCAGATTTCCTAACCTCGTCAATTTTAACGCTTAATACAAGTATACTCCATTCGCGGGGCAGAGCGACGCTTAGTTCTGCTAGGTTCTTTCGTTTTGTGCAAAAACGCGTTGAATTGGTCCAATTTTATTGATTTTTGAGCTGCGCATGCTAAACTGTAGAATTATCAAAACGAAATTGAGGAATAAATTACCATCTAAAAGAAAAAAAGAAATAAAAGGAAATTGGATGCAAACAAAGAATTATGGAAGTGTTTCTTAACGCCTCAAAAACCGCGTTGGTAATAACTTTTTACACACAGTTTCAGAATATTTATTATTTTACATTCAATCTATCTTATTTATTTATATTTTATCGTAGTCCCAGTTGTCAGTCTATCAAACAATTCGTGTCGTTCTGGGGAATCCAACATGCGACTTGGATTCTGCTGTAAGTGCTCTGGTCCAAGGATTGTTGGAGTATAGTGATATCAAGAAACTTACCGATGTCGCCGTAATACCAGTCATGAATATTCCAGAAAAAGAATTTCGCATTAAGACGGAAGTAGTTTATAGCCTGAAATCTCATAACATTCCACTGAACTTGCTAACGTTCAGGTGAGTCCTAAGCTTCTGGAAAGCAATCTAAGCGTTGTGCTATTTGATTATACTCTTGACAGAGATCAGATTGATTTGCAAAATATACAGAATGATGTCAACAAGAAACTGGAGCTAATTTTAGTTGATCATCATACACTTGCTAACGAGGATTTTAAGTTGAAGCCTTCAATTGTAATGATCATTGATCATCGGCCACAAGATCCAACCTGGTCATGGCCCAATGTGCTGTTAAACATAGAAATTGTTGGAAGTTGTGCCACTCTTGTTGCACGCAATGTCCTACAAAAGAATCCTGATCTGCTGGATACACAACTCTCGAGTCTCTTGCGAGGTAAATATTTTGATAATAGATTAATTAATAAACGCAAAACTTTTATTATATAGTATCCAATATTTTTTGCAGGTCCAATATTGATTGACACTTATAATATGTCGGATGAAGCTGGTCGAGCAACTGCTACTGATGTTGATGTACTAAATACTCTTGAGCAACTTGGTGGACTTACATCTGACAGAATTGATATATTTAAAAAGATTATGCATGCAAAAACAGACATCAGTGAATTGACTCTTGAAGAACTTATGATTAAGGATCTGAAAGTAACGAATGGGATACCTCTCGTTGGATTTTCCCTTTTAGTAGAGGTGCGATATTTGGAATTATTTTATTGTGATAGTGAGAATTAATTTTTTTAATTAATTTAAAGTATAATTTTTAACAAACTTTAGGATTTTCTTGTTCAAGAAAATGCAAAAGAGGTTATTGAACAATTTGTTAATGAAAGAAATTGCAATGTCGTTGTTCTTATTGGGCAGGATGTGACCAAGAAACATGTATCTAGAGATATTGCAATCTTTTCAATATTACGTAATCAATTGGCGAACGACGTGAGTATGATTATTTAACATAATTGTTGTATCAAATTGTCTCAGAATATACACACGTATTTTTACCTTATTTACAGATAATTCAAGCGTTGGTTGAATCTACTCAGCCATCTTTAAATCTCGAATTAATTAAAGAAATTCGAGAAGAGAAATGTAATCTCTGTTTGTACAAACAAAGAAATGTGAAGGTAACACGTAAACAGATATTACCAATTGTACAGAAAACGGCATTATTGCACGGAAATGAGGAAATATAGTATAAATACATAGACTATTGAATAAAAAAAATTTGCAGAGATATAAAGTTTATTAATAAAAAAAAATATTCGAGTACACTATTCGAGTATTTATTCTCTAGAGTGCCTCTTTACATTACATAATAATAAATTTCCTGCTCTTTAATCATTAGAATTAATATATTTTGTGTAAATAAATAAATAAATAAATATATATATATATATATATGTATATATACATGTACGATAAATTTATGGTTTATGTATGTTTTATTAATGATAAAATACTATAATTAAAATATATATTTAATATCCATGTATATGTAGGGTACCTGTTCCTATTAGTGTGCCTTTAAGCTAATTTATTCATTATTGAATTAACCAATAGAAATGTCTTAACGATCTGGCTCTAAATACTTTTATAATGTCAATTTAATTTATATACTATATATGTAATCATTTAAACTACGCATCGAAATTATTTTTTGGTCTTGAAACGCAAACTGCACTAAACTAGCAGTAATATCACGAATTATATTTGCTTTTCAGCAAGTGACAGAGTGTGACAGTGATCATGTCATCTTCGTTTAACATTAGCAAACAACAATAATGTAATGATTCACTGTGTCATCTATGTCTCTTGCTGAAAAGCATCCATAGATTAGCAATTTGATGCTTTTTCGCATCTTAGACCAATCTTAATAATGTTTGAATGACATATTAAATAGCATTAATATTAATTGTTTAAGTTGTTAATATTTCATAAATCCATTAAATTTTAATTGTATTTACAATTTCAATGTATACTCATAATATAGCATAACACGCTTTCAATTTCAATACAGAGTAACCGGGACAAGTTTAAAATACGATATTATTGGACTCACATAAATTTCTTATAATTAAAAAAAAATGTTTACTTTAATAGTTAAAAAATGAAATATTATCTTTGGTATCTCATATATACATTAATGATTTAACTTAAAAAGAAAAATACTTTTTCTTATACTGAGAGATTTTCTTTATGGTTTATTTATAAATACAAAGACACAATAATAAAGACAATTACCCTACGATATGAAATCGTATATATTAATATATCGAATTGAATATATTAAATTAATAGTGCATTGTTTTAAAAAAGGTTGACGCATTTGGAGTTCATGGAAAGCTTTTGTCGATGCTCGTATTGTGGAAAATATCTCGATTATCGGGAATTTTATGATTTTGCGCAGTGAAACACTACCGCTATCGCCATTGGCTGTCGGAACGTCACACCCCTCGGCGTTATCACGTATCACCCTGAAAAATCCTTTCCTCCCGCGATATCACAGTGTCCGTGGAGAGAAATGCCGCGACTATCAGTCACCCCTCGCTCGCAAAAATGTTGCGGAGGTGTGCGGGATGCATCGTGAACACTGTACACAGTTGTTTTACATTGTGCGATAGAGACACGAAAATGCGAGCCGAGTGGAGTAGTTAAAGCGCCAAACTCGATAAGCGAAAGGAGCTTATTATTAACGCGACGCACGTGTTCCATTTAAAATTATGAGACAGACCTCGGAGCGTCAGCGGCTTCTGCCGAACGGTAAGGACAATCTGTAGAATGTTAAAGATCAAAGTGGGAATCTCTTTTCTACTCAACGTGGGAATCTCTAACGATCTTTCTTGGAATGGAAAACCATCCGTGTTCGGCAAAAGATAAAGAAGGGGTGGAAAAAAAGAAAAGAAATAAATTATGAAATACGCGCGAGAATTTTGCCCACCCACGAAATAACGCATATTGATCGTTCCATACTTGTTGCGCAGAGACAACAGCCGAGCTAAACTACGCCGAGTATCAACATCCCCACCCTGTGCGAGAACTAAAAGCTGCATTATATCTCGTGGCTGTCGCCGTTTTGTAAAATTGCATTTGTTCTTCTGGATATAAACAGCGCACCGCGCGGTGTTCTTCTCCCTGCGAAAAAAACGGGGATGAGAGAGTTCCTCGAGCTGTATTATGATTTATAAATGTGCTCGGAGTATCGGTACGCGCCGCGTTATCGCAACATATCATGGAGACCGTACGCCTTTTGATAAAAGTTCTAATACTGTTCAGCTGGTGCGCGAAGGGATTCGTAATTGGGAACACTCTAGGTAAGTTGGCTTAGCGCTTCATTGCTTCATTATCAACCTTTTTTGCTACGAGTGGATAACATTTATTTTGCAATATGTAGATATTTTTATAGGCTGAACTCATGGGACTTATGTGTGTCCTTTGACACAAAATTTACTCTCTCTCTCTCTCTCTCTCTCTCTCTCTCTCTCTCTCTTCAATCTTTAGATTTTTGAAAAAATTATGATTTGTACTCATTATTTAATTATCAAAGATTGACTAACGGCATATATAAATGAGATAATAAATGAGATAATTTCAATAATTATGTTATTAATAATAACAACAAAGAAGCAATCCTAACTATAAATATAAATGTAAAATGCATTTTTATAGTTTTATTTGTTCATATGTAATTGTATTTATTTTATGTTTATTTTATTTATGTTTACAGAAGTAATTAAAAGCTAAGTTAACATTTAGTTTCTTGTCAAATATTCGATATTTATAAACATGTAAAGAATATATGTAAATTACATATTTGTACTTCAACTCTGAAATATTTAAAATGTAATGATAATTGTAATTTTAGAAAAATGTATTCTTCCACTCGGTATGGAAGAAGGAAAAATCCCGGATGAAGCAATCACCGCGTCCTCCAGTTATGAAATGAAATCCGTCGGTCCTCAAAATGCGAGGTATAGAAATTAACACGCGAAAATATGTATAATAACTATGTACAGCCATTGCAATGATGTACGAATATTTGTAGAATACGGCAGGAAAAGAATGGTGGTGCTTGGTGTCCAAAAGCTCAAATTAGTAGTGCCATACGCGAATATCTGGAAATCGATTTAACGAGAGACCATCTTATCACATGGACCGAAACCCAGGGAAGATTCGGTAATGGTCAAGGTCAAGAATATGCCGAGGCATTTTTTCTGGAATATTGGCGGCACGAAAAATGGCATCAGTACAAAGATTTAAGAGGGAACAAGGTATGTCCGATTATTAATAAAGATTAATTAAAAACTATTCAATTAAGATTTAATTTATAAAGATTGAAATAATTTGTAATTAAAGATTTCATAAAATATTGCTCTACAGACTTTTAGGAAAGATATATATCAATCTAAATTTAATTTTCTTAACT